CAGCAGAAGACTCAATTTCAACAGTTGGTCACACCCCTTCTGGCGTGAATAAGTTAGACATCAAAAATAAATTTTGTTGAATTTCGACGATAATATTTTTGTTGGCTTCACCAGGTCGGGCTTCTGAATTCGCTGCTCGAGAGGAAAGACAAACTGTCGTGGCCGGACAGGGGCATGTCTCATATAGTGTGGACGACGAAGGAAGTGGGAGGGGGCGAACCTTGGAGACCGTCCTTCAGCTTGGGTGAGTACCAAACCCATCTCCCAAATTCTCCAACCGTTGATTTTTTTTAGAGTGATTGTTGTCGTAGATGCAGGTATTGAGGCAAAAAGATAGTTGTTGGTTGATGATGATATTGTTGATCCAAGGTCTTGGTGAAAATGTTTCGCGAACTGTGCCTGGAGTTGAGTCCCAACCGCCGGTCGGTTTAGCTCCAACCTCTGATGACTGATGAAAAGATGTGGGCCTCTGAAATAGCAACCAACCAGTAACAGTTGAATAAGATGGTTACTTCCTTGTTTTTTTCTGAACTGCATGACTTTCGTTTTCACATGCATGGAGGAAACCAGAAGGACAATTTGCAGTCCATTCGCAACTTTCCCTGGGCCCAACAACTTCCTCCTCCATCGCATGATCGGGCACGTACTGGTGGTTTAAGTGAAGGCCAAGTTCTACACCTCAGTAACCCAGTCTGCCATTCTGAGGTTCGAGCTGCCGCAATGACGATAGATTATCGAATTCCCCCCCGGATGGTTTGGAGGGAGGGACAGAACGACCGGTCCAAACAGGGGACGTGCCTCTACTGACAGGTACCCATAGGGAACATATTTGCTCTCTTTTTGGAGATATCATCTTTGAACTGACCCCAGGTAAATTCAGAGTTATTTTCACCTTTATATTAAAAAAATGTGGCCTAGAACACTGGTCCGCATTTTTTTTTTTTTTTTTTTGAAATCCCAATTCATTACTTTTGAAAATAGAAAAGGAGTCGGGGACCCCACAATTATACCCGGAGTTATCCCGACAACATCATTCGGTTTAGCTTACGAGCTAAGGCTCACATCTCACTCACTTCCAACTATCTAGATTCAAGAACCGTAGACAACCAACAAACCTATTCTAGGCAGAACTAGCTCACTTTCTTCGGAACCAGTAGCCACTATTAGTTCCTTTAACTTAAATTATTATCCAACATCTGTCTAACTTAAGACTAAGCGGACTCTTTAAACAATTCAAACTACAATATAAATTTCCGAACCAGTTGTCGTACCGACGCCACTATGAGATGAAAAACTTCCACCTAGCGGCCTAAAATCGGCCTACCAGCGCCACTCGACCTCAATAATGGATTTCCGCTAGAAAAGTCGTTATGAAAGTACTAGTTTCCCATCCATAGACAAGGATATCAAATCGGGGATTTTTCCCCATGTTTGTCTGAGCCAAGATTGGTTCTTCTGTACCTGCCTCCCCTGGGGGAACCAATATGATTTAACTGTTTGTCGGATCAAAGCCTTTGCTATACCGGTTAATTCTTGGATAGTTGTAGATTCCCGCTTAAATGCAACTCTATTCCGAGCTTTCCAAATAGCTTTCATAATAGCACCCCTGCAAGCCAAGGCCACATAGGGAATTCCTGAATATTTTTTTTTAGCGTGGTTAGAGTGGGCATACAATATTCATTCTTGTGTCCAAGGGAGCTCATTTGTTGCGGCTCCTTTCCAGTTCTCCTTCCACCATTCCCAGATCCTGAAGGAGAGTGGGCAGAACAGCCAAATATGATTAGCTGATTCCCAGCCCCAACTGCATCTCGCGCAGAGCTCCTCTATTTTGCATACCTTTGGAGGCTAGCCAGCCCCAACCGCATCTCGCGCAGAGCTCCTCTATTTGCATACCTTTGGAGGCTAGCTAGATTGCCGCTGGGGTTACCAGTAGGACTTGGAGCTACGCTAAACTACCTTCTTAACCCGAAAAAAACGTACGCACGTTCTATTCGAATTACCTCTGGAAATCGGGTTTTCAAAAATCGGTTGTTTTTCCCTGAATAGAACGTACGTTCGAATATAATGTACGTACGTTGTATTCGAATACAACGTACGTATGTTGTATTTGAATTTTTGGAACTTTGATTTAAAAAAAAAAAAAAATCCGAAAAAAATAAAATGTTATACAACAATGCAATACGAACGGATGTTGTGGATCGTCAAAAAACAACGACCCCTTCAGGGCTCGCTTGTACAATGACGTGTTCTTGAGAACACGCGCATCGCCCACAGTCCCCGGAAAACCATAGCAGAAGTCCAAGATCTTCAGTTCCGAATCCACCACCACTTGCGTCACGAGGGAGAACCGGTTGTGTCGACCGAAGCAATAGTCGTCGCCGTCCCTTGAGCGGGGTTTGTCGACATACACATGCGTGCAGTCAATATAGCCCCAGCAATTCGGAAACCCCAACGCCTCGAATTGCTGCATGCGTCGGTGACGGTCTTCCAAACCCCCAAAGCTAATAACATTCGGATAAGCGGCGTGAATGGCCTCCGCTACTTCCATAATGGCTCGCGTCCCGCTGGTTCTGCCCATCTCGTAACTAGAGCAACTGCGCCAATGTGAGTCACCGTGGGCCCACCTATGCAGTGCATAAGCCAGTACCTTCGTCGGAGGCAACGATAGCCTGAATTTCGTCACAGTCTTCTCCAAAGAAGGACCGATCTTTCGCAGCAGTTTATTGAAGGTGGAGCGAAGCATGCGCAGCAGGCCTTGGTAATGGTCGTCCTGAGCGTTGTCTCTTGGAAGCAGATCGTTCCACAACCCAGCTGACCGCCTCATCACCCACCACCTAGGCGAAGCCCGAGGCAAGAGATCACAGATTTCGACAATGGTCGGCCACAACCAAAGCAAACTACGCCCTCCACGACCATGGTCGTCATCGTCATCTCCTGCATCAAACAGGATGTCATTCGACTGTTGCGCCAGGAATAAGGGCCTTGCTGTCCGGAAACCAAGGAGGTCATCGAGGCTTTGGAATGCATCCTCGGCCATTCTGCCCGCAACAGCCATGACCGCGACAGCGAGCTGTTCTCGCTGCCTCCTTCTAAGCCGCCGCATCCCACTGCCACGTGGACAACGAACACCCGTCGACCAACCCCCTCAAACCTCGTCACCACGCCCACACAACCCACGCGCCCCCCCCCCCCCCCCCCCCCCCGAACACCCGACGACCAACCCCCCCAAACCTCGTCACCCTGCCCACACCAACGAAAGCTCGTCCAACGGGCCCAAGGCCGAGCACGAAAAACCGAACGACATCCCGCTACCGATAACCGTGCCAGCGTTTCGACAATGGGTGTGCCACGGCACGGCACGCCCCTACTTTGCTACCAACAGACACCGCGGGAGAGAAAGGAAGTTTGCCAGAAATGGAAAGACGACGTCATAATCTGACTCGCTTGTTTCCACTCGGCGGGGCCTTCCGAATTTCCCTTTATCGCGGACACCGTACACGGACACAACTTACGGCCACATTCGTATGGGAGAGGGTGACTTTCGGGTCGGGTGCAGTGCCGACGTCAAGGATCTACAAATGGTGACAACCGCAAACAAAGGATTGCGGGGTTGTACGTCGTATCTTTTGTTGTCAGAGCTGTCATTTTATTTATTCTTTTCTGCATTCTAAAACAATTTAAAAATTGAGAACATTTCTTGCACATTATTAAATAGCGAAAAGGTGTCACACACCGATTTACTCGACGCTAGTGGGACGAGGCCCTTGAGGTTCTTATCGAAATTCACGAGAAAATTCAAGAAAAAAATAAAAACGAGGATGAAAATATTTTTTACTGATTTTTTTCAGAATTTCGATTTAAAAAAAAAAAGTTCAGTAAAAAATCCGAAAACAAAGTATGTTGTACAAAATTGCAATGCAAACAACTTTTTTTTTTTTTTTTTTTAAAGGTGTGACGGTCTTGAGATATTATCATTGAGCTGACCAACCCCAAGCAATTCATTAGTAGTGGGTTTTACTCATCAAGGTCCATCATCTGGATTCGAACACAGGTCTGTATTTCAACAGTTCATGGGTGTACCCACTGAGCTAGGCTCTTGGGTGATGCAAACAACTTTTGCCTGAGGGTCTTGGCGAAATTCCCAACCAAATTCGAGATAAAAATAAAAACAATGGCGGACGGTTTTTTCGGGGTAAGAAGGTAGCTTGTTTCTGTGATGTCATCCTATTCAGCCCCTGACATATGGCAAAGAAATCCAGGTTTCCCAAGCAGAAGCCTGGTTGTTTTCCAAGCCTCTCTGTAGCTGTTATCACTGGATGTCTTTTCACTCCTGATCTGAGGATCTGCACTCCTAGTTTGGTCAGATCAGCACTCCTAGTTTGGTCTTATATGCTGCAACTGGAGTGGTCGTACTTGTATTGTGGGCGCCTTTCCATCCATAGAGTAATGGCTCGATTTGCAGGTCATCAGCGGTTTCTGCTACCACCGAGGCTACGTCCTTGCCCTCTGCTATGTTGCACCACTGGTCCGCATTTCAACAGTTCATAGGTGTACCAACTGAGCTTAGCGAGTTGGTAGGGAAACTTTCTTTTGTGAAGGGGGAAGCCACATCGCAGAGATCTTGGGCCCGGCGGGAGGTGCGGTTTCGGATTCGGTGCCAGCGCGCCGCAGATGTTTCCTGGGGTCAAGTCCCATTTGCCCAATTCTGTTCTGGATTTCTGGCCGTCGATTCTGAAGATCGACAGCCGGCGATGAAGAATCTGCCCAAGGTGGGACTATCTGCAGGCCGCTGTTGGGGAGAGTGCTAGACCTGGAAACCAGATGCTCCCCGTTCCTGGGATGTTCTTTTGACTCCCCGGCGTCCCCGCCAGTTAGGCGAATGTTCTCCTTGCGTGGTGCTCGTGGTGTTCGTCTGCCTATTGGCTTGTCAGCGGCAAGCCAGCAGTGAGCGAGCAGGAGCCGGGGGTTGTGCGGAGTTAGGGGGTTTTCGGCGCGGGAATGGGGTGGCAGTATAGAGCAGAGTGATTGCACTGGGCGGGGGGTGTGTGTAGGGATGAGAGGGGGAGAAGGAGGAGGAGGAGGAGGAGGAGAAGGTCGAGGTGGTGGTGATCGGTTCGGGTCGAGTGACACACGTTGCCTGTTGGGGCGATACTCTACCCTACCCCACCCCCCCAGGCGATGACGGGGGCCGTACGCATGTGCGTGCGTGCCGCCATACGCGAGCAGAGGATGCCACGTGTCTTATAGCACCGCAAGAGTTACGTCTCCTTCTCCCATTCTCCTCTCCTCTTCGTGTCGGCTGCTCTCCCCGTCTCTTGCTCCTCTTGCTCCACTTGCCTGCTGCTGCTGATCTTCGCGGGCACAGGCGTTTCGTTGGGATTGCACCACAAAAGTTATGAGGGATTTTTGTTATGTTATGGAGAGTCATATAACCTTATATGAAATGAAATTTCATTGTTATGCTATGGTGTGGCGGAATCAGGGACCCGCACGATCGCGCTGAGTAAATGACAGTTCCTTTGATCAGGAAGGGAGTTATAGGTCTTAACCTATCAACCAATCAATTAACCGACCAATCAATCGATCGATCCATCAACTAACCCAATCAATCAATCAATCAAATCAATCAATCAAGCCATCAGTCAGTCAACCTCTCTCTCAAACAATTAATTAGTGGATCGCTCGGTCATGTAGTCGATCGGTTCGATAATCTGATTGTGCTGTCCTTCTCGTTCTGTGGCAGCTGATCTATCTACACTTACCTATTCATCTGAGCTTGCCACTTTGTCCGTTGTGTCGGCGAGAGCATAACAACCGTCGATCGGGTAATTAGTGTACAATTACCAGTAGATCGACACGTGTCGTCTTGTGCCCGGCCCCTGGAGTTCGTTGGCGACCGTAATAGGAAAGGGAAAGGTGAATGCTGGGTAACCGAAACAGGAAAGGGAAAGGCGGATGCTGAGGGAGGGAAAAGGAATATAGGAGTGATCGAGGGGTCAGAAGATCCTCCTAGCAGCCGTTGTTAATCGGGTAGGAGGGGAGGGGAGGAGGGGAGGAGGAGAGGAGAGGAGGTGGGTTATCTATCACGGCAGGCATTCCCCCCCCCCCCCCCCCCCCCCCCCCCTTTCTGTTGCCTCAGCTTTGTTGTCGTTCTCTTAGGGCACACGCACAGTACGACTTTTTCGACCGCGCTCTGGACGTGATTTCGGTCAGATGCATCAAGGTCTGACCGTAATTGCAGGCGTAGACAGACTAAGTAGGGAAAGTGCTAGTGTGAGCAAAGCCGTCATATATATGTAGCTATAGACTTCTCTGTCTGTTCTGTCCTTTTTCCTGGTCCTTAGCTTATCCGGGATCCGACGCTCTCTCCCTCCCACTCTCTCTCGTTTGGTTTTCTTTTCCTCTGTTCGAGAGAACACGATCGAGACTGCCTTGGTCGGGATAGGGAGGAGTCGCGTGCTGTCTGTCGGGGTTGGGATTCGAACCATCAGCCTGCCGACGTGCCGGGGAGAGAGAAACAGATACGCGCGGTGGAGGGAAAATGGGGCAGGTAGATAGTAGAGGAGGAGGAGGAGGAGGAGGAGGAGGAGAGCGAGGCCTCAGGTCGAGCGAACGGAGTCGTAAGAGCGGCGGAGAGGAGGATGGAGAGAGAGAGAGAGGAGATAAAGGGCGGAGCGCCAAGGATGGGGAGAGCAAAGGGGCCATAGGAGATGACGTCTCACTTAATGCTCTCCGTGGCAACCCCACTGCCACTATCCTTTGCGGATTAACGCTTCTGCTCATCTGTGTCATGGCATTCTCCATCCGGCTGTTTTCGGTACGTACTACTACCCCCCTCTCTTATACACATCTAGATGTGTATAAGAGACAGCTTCTCTCCTCTCCTCTTCTGTTTTCCTCTCCTCTCCTGTAATGGCACTCTTTAGCGGATCTTTTTTTTCTGCGCTTCTTCCTCCGCCAGCTTATGTTTATCATGACCATCTTCTCTCCTCTCCTCTCCTCTCCTCTCCTCCCCTCCCCTCTCATTTTTGTACCCTTCTCCTCTCCTGTAAGGACATTCTTTATCGGATTTTTTTCCTGCCCCTTTCTTCCTCCGCCAGCTTTTGTTTATCTTGACCATCTCCTCTCCTCTCCTCTCCTCTCCTGTGCTCTCCTTCGCTAAATTCACTCTCTCTGTGTGTCGTGCTTTTGTGCTCTGCGGCACTGCTGCTCCCTTGGAGAGATGAGTGAAAAGGAGAGAAGACGACTTTTTTTTTTGTTTTTCTACTTGTTTTTTGTTTTTTGTTCAAAATTTTTATTGTGGGAATAATGACGTAAAAGGGGAGAGAGGACAGTGGGGTGTAGAAGGAGACTGGTGGTACCGAAATAAAAGCGCAATGCCGTTTCTATGACCGTCTTTTTTTTTCTTCCTTTTTTTCGTTTTATTCGAGTTGTTTTCTCACTCGTGTTCTATCCAGTGGTAGTTAGTTGGTTTTATTCTTTTTTTTTTTTTTAATTATTATTTTGCTTTCCGCCTCACCGAAAGGGTGACGGCATTGAGATATCATTCATTAAACCGACCGGGCTCAGGTAATTCAGAATTACTAGTATTTTGTTGCCTTAGAAAAAAAATATAAAAAGTAAAAAATTGTTCTGTTCATCTGGTTGCGTCTGGGACGAGATCCTTCGTGCAGATAGGATTGGATCGAATATCTGAATCTGGACGCGTTTGTGGAGACGTGCGGAAAATCACGATCGATCCTCTTTTCTGCATCTCTGCATAAAACGCATCCAGATTCAGGCGCTTCATCCAATTCCCTTTGCTAGTGGGACCTTGCCCCTGCCTTTCCCTTTCCCAAAAAAAGAAAAAAGAAAAAAAAAGACTCGAGCCCTTAGACTACTGGGACCTGGCTTACCCTGCGCTTCGGTTACGTGGGGTCCATCCAGCCCACAGACAGAGGGAATGAGCCAACCAACAAACCGGAGTTCGAACCAACCCAAGAAAAAAAACGATATACCTACTCAACAACACTCACATCTACTTACTGTATTTAATGGGATGGTTAAGAGATTATTTATGGTTAAACTCATTTCAGCTTATTAATGGCAGAGGTCGTTCCTCTGGTTGAAGCCTAATTTTATCTTTCCCGGCACTGAACAAAAGGGGTTCGAACCAACCCAAGAGCCTCCTAGCTCAGTCGGTACACCCATGAACTGTCTGGAAAATACAATCCCGTGTTCGAATCCAGATGATGGAACTTGATTGATGAGTAAAGTTGTAAAAACCAACTATTTCTGAATTGCCTGGGGCCGGTCAGCTTAATGATGATATCTCCAGGCCGTCGCCCTTTCAAAAAAAAAAAAACAAAAAAAAAAAAACAAAAAAAAAAAAACAAAAACGGAGATTCGCACCACCCTACACCACTCAGAGGTCGTGCCCCTAGAACAACAAAAGGGGTTCGAACTTACCCAAGAAACAAAAAACGAGATTCGTGCCCTACCCAACACGCAGAGGTCGTGCCCTGGAAGGAATAACAGGAGTTCGAACCAACTAACTGAAAAAACCCGAGATTCGTACCCTACACAACAACACTCAGAGGTCGTGCCCCCTAAAACAACAAAAGGGGTTCGAACTTACCCGAGAAAAAAAAAAACGAGATTCGTACCCTACA